CACAGTATGACAGAAAATTCGAGTGAGAGATGAAAAGATCTACAGAGCAAAGGGATTTTAGGAGAAGCATAAGAAGCAGAGCATGTGAAAAAGAGACAGTGGCAGAGAACAAAAGCAAAAACGAGCTGATCCGTGTGTGTCCTGGTGAGCAGCAGCTCCCTAATGCTGCGTTTCCACTATTGGACCCCAACAAGCGGTACACCCTGTACTTCCCTTAACCATCACCAAGTACAGCCTCTGAGGTTGACGCGGACCGTCCTGCTTTGTTTGTCCACTGTATTTTCTCTCTGTTGGTCTCTGTTTAGAGGAGGGAGGGGCTGCTGCTCTCACATACACGCAGACAGCTGAGTGTTTACACACGAAGCCTGTAATGCTAACGCTTGAGGTGTGAAGATGTGGACATTTAACCAATCACCGGTGACTGCTCTGTGTGTACGCACCCCCCTCCCTCCACGTGGCCCTGGTACTTGTTTTTAGTACTACCTCCTGAGGGGTGCTGAAATTTAGCTCCCAGAATGCACCTCCAAAGTGGGCCGAGTGTAGTGGAAACAAACACAGAACCCGTGACCAGCATTACTCGGCACGCCACGTTTCGGTACGGTCCTATAATGGAAAAACCCCTCAAGAGGCCAGCCTGAACTCATTAGTCCTGCTCTGGAGTCCTCCGGACAGGACTAGGTGGGCTGCTGCCAAAAACACCCTCCCCTTCCCACCCGTTTTCCTGCATCCTGGAGTGACATCCAGCCCCCCTCCTCTCCTCAGCAACCCCCCTTCCACTGTACACCCCCTGCAGTGACAGCCCAAGAGCACAATCAGGAAACACGCTGCTGGCTGATGGAATAATTATTGCAGGCAAGAAGGCTACAGGAGAAGGCTCTCCCCTGGGAGCTGCCTATGTGTGATAGCATGCGAGACGGATCGCAAGATGGAATAGATGAATGTGAGATGGAGAGAATGAAAGGGGAAACTATACCAGACTACACGTGGCTGTGTGTGACTACCTGTGTGTGTATGCAGGCTTGTGAGTGTGTATGCGCATTTATGAGAGGTATCTGCAGCACATTCATTCAAGACACATGTAAGCTATCTCTCTGTCGCTCACTGCCTCTCTCTCACTTTATTCTGTCCCTTCCCACTTTCAAGAGACAAATCAGGCATCAGGTGTTGCCTTATAGTCACCACAGAGGGGAAAAAATGCTGATATGGGCACTGTTCTCATTTATAATTGTCTTGACCAGCGGGGAGTGCTCACAACCCAGAGCTGAGATTGTAATCTTGAGGTTACTGCACAATGACAATCAGCGCATGTGTTCTTTAATGGAAAGTGAGAAAAAAGGATAATATTGCTGTTTTTTTCACCTCAACCACACGTAAACAGGAAAATGAATTACTTGTCACTTTCTCTCCCTGCCTCTCCCTACTTTTCCCCACCTCTCTGTGCCTTATCTGACTATATGATGAATCAGTGGAAAATAGGCAGTGAGGACAAACTCAGATTTCTTCACCCACAACAGCGTGTCCACCTGTTCACTCCCCATCTCCATGCTAATGAAGCTGTTTCCCTA